CGAAAGACTGGCATAGACTAAAGGAAGATTACACTAAATAAGAAATAAAAATACAAAATTAGAAAGACAGAGAAAGTCCAAGAGTGAAACGAAAAAGCTAGAAAGTTGGAGATAATTAGAATATTAATTAAATACTTTTAAAAAAATTGAGATGAATAGTTGCAACAACTGAGACCTCAACATTGCTAACCAGATTAATCCTTATCCACGAATTTTCTAGATGTGTGTGACTTAGTCATCGCAACATCGATCTTGAGTTGGAACTTCATTGGATGGACTGCTCATAATTATTTCCTTGGATTTGACCAATATATTTAACTATCAGCAGGAGAATCTCATCAACTGGATATATTATTCCTATCAATTGTTTATCTGGCTATTACCCATTCGCTAATTGTTTGTTATTTTTTGTTGTCAACATGCACATAAAAAATATTTTAACATCTCGATCAGCTTTTCAAAAAACTAATATCCACAGACGTATTGTTTCTAGTGCAATAAGGTTTTATTTTATTTTGTCTTGGAAGGTTTTATTTTTTGATTCACAGTGTAGGCTGTGATGAAGGAAGTTATGATATGCGTATTTACGCAATTTTTTAAAGTTTATTTTGATAAAAGCTTTTAATTAAGAGTTTTAGTGTCTGATGTTGCTTAAGTAATCCCCCGATTTCCCATGTATTGTTTATTATTGTTGTTGTAATAGAAATCAACGTGGTTGATAAAACAACTCCTATTCGCTTTTGAACTTTGTATGATGGAAATTACCTCAATTACTTTTCAACTAAGAAAATTTGGATCCTCTGCCTATTATCCGACCAAGTTCCATGAACAATTCTTGTTAAAATGAATTTGACTTGTTTGACAAGTGCATTTCTATTTATAATAAGCCATGAAAGCATCAGAAAATCTAATATAATATATTCAATGCCTGTCAAGATTGTGAAGTATTCCTCCTAGTAAACAAATTGGCAAGAAAAAGGGATAAAAAAAAAAATACTCAGCTGGTGATTTGTAGAAATTGAAAACGCAGAAGTCTTGATTTAAGGAAGTAGATATAACTTTTATCGTTACAATTGTTGATTTGGATTATTCGTCTTAGATAGTGCCAAAGTTTGCCAGGTCAGAGGGTCTTCATGGACTGTGGTTTTGGTAGTCAGTGACTGAATATTATATTGCTAAATTACTATATAAAGATTACTTTATGTCAACTTCGGTCAATTATCTTGACAGCCCAGAACTATGAACTTAATTTGAACAAACCAAAATAGTTTTCGGCATGCATGCATATGATAAATTTTGCCATGACTTGTTAATAAAATTAGTGAATTCTAACAGTAGGTCGATTACATTATCCAAGTTTGTAGAATGTTTGTCAAACAAGACACTCTTTTCATAACATAAATTTATATCTAAACAATTTCTCGGGCTTGCGGCTTAGTTCATTACTAATTGGATGAACTTATGAAACATTGGAAATTAAAATAAATGGAAACAGTTACGTAAAGTGATTTCCAGAAAGGCTGCTAAATAATCCATCAAAGTGACCTTTAATTAATCGTTAATAAACTTGAAGGGGCATTAACAGTATCCCGTAAACAATAAAAATATAATTAGAGGATCATGCTAACTTGTTCTGTCGTTACAAGCAAACTTTTAATTGATTGTTGGAGGCTCCATATGTCCTTGTTTTGACTATTTTTACAGAAAGTTTGCCGTGACCGTTAACAATCAACAAGGAATATGCTCCAAGCTTATACCCGTTCCTCAATTTTTACGAATATAGGATACGATAGGGATTAGGGAACTATTACATGGCACGTTATATAGTTGAGATTTACTACTATTTAACATAGATGTCTTGTCATCATATCACTGTTGTATTTAAATATCCATGATTTTCTGGAACTCAAGTTTGGGCTGAGTTCTCTTTGATACTATTCACTACTGTTCATTAGCACGCATTAGTTACGAAAATAACAATTATACTACAATAAACGTAACTATCATTGTTTGAATTTGATTATACCCTTGAAATCGTTCGTTAAATGTATACAAAGTCTGAACGATGTCTATATTCATTGTCATCACATTACCCAGTTCGTTCAATGTTTTGACGATGTTCTGTATATTACAAATTACTTTTATAATGCTGTTTCGAGCTTTTGACATGGTGGATGACATTCCCGGGAGATTGCACTCCTCTCTTAGTACAAGCAATTTATTATTTGTAACATTTACGGTTTTTTTAGAAAATGTTTTTTGTATTAATAAAGTAAAACATTTTTTATTGTGATTAATATTTTTTATGTCGTGTACATAAAAAATACTAGGCATCATGTCAACTTTTAGATATTTAAATAATATTTTTAAGTTTATTTTGTCAAAGGAAAATGAATTAAGATTTGAGAGTCCAACAACAATTGCATTCTAACAACAGCAACGAGAACATTACTATAATGCTACTCTGTTATAAATATTAAATTATATTCAAGCTTTTTCTACACAATCAAAATAGACAATGGAAGTTAGTCCAAACAGTAAGTTATTTGATATCGTTTAAGTAAAATTTTAAATTTGAGTTTTATATATATATAAAAGTTTAATAATAAAAAATTTTAGTAATAAATTTATTTACTATACGCTATCTCGAGTTAGATTTATATTAAATAAAATAAAAAAAAATAAAATAAAAAATAGACGCTGCCCTAATCACAAGCGAACAAAACACACACAGTAAACAAATAATCAAAACACTCGGAATTATTTCAAATGGGATGTTTCAATGTTTTTTGTCCACAAACGAAGTGGTGTTTTTGGTCCAAAAACTTGTGTGGTTGAAATTTCAATATTAAACATGCTTGGCCCAGTTTTATCTAATTAAGGCCCATGTCTAAATGCGATCGTTTTACAAAAATAATCATAACGTAGCATAGTTTTTTACAAAAATAGAAAAACAAAAAACGTAACATAGTTTCACATTTGTGGTGTTTAAAGTAATCGCCTGTGTGTAAGCGGTATTAACATGAATCAATAATTCTAAAAATTAAAATTGTGAAGCACCATACTCGAATAAATTTATATTTTCTTACATCGAAATTAATTGGTTTGTCATTGACTTCAAAAACAGGGGGTAATAGCAGAGCAGGTGAAAGGTACCAATGAAGCATCAAATAAATTAAATTATTTTCTCTATTTATTTTAAAAAAAAAGGGAAAAGAAATCTAATTAGATAACCCATGTCTTTGTTCACTTTTTTCCAAAATCTTTATTACGTCCCTCTTCTCTTACATACTAATTTATGTGATTTGAAATTGGAAATTTTTATTGAAATCACTCAACTTTCTTAAGTTTTGTTTTTGAGATATTTTTCTTAATGTATTTTTTTACATATTTTCTAAATTATTTATACAAAAACGTTATACACTAGATTTTAGCTGAATTTAAACAATTATATAATATATATCATAGTTATTCATTATTATTATATTCATGTCATATAAAGTATATATTCTCGCTATATTATATATTTAAGTCCTTGTTTGTTTTTTCCTGAGAATATCTTTTATCAAGCTTTTATTTTTCTTGTGACACAAAACTTCATATTTATTCAATACTTTTTTTAAAATCTTAAATCATATTTTTTGTAATTCTTTTATAAAATTTTCTTTTCCATCTATATTCAAAATTCCTAGATCTCAAGTTTAATTGTTTTAAGTTTTTATATTAAGTAATTTACGCAGGAACTATTTATATTATTATTTTTTATAATTTGAATTATTTTTATTTTTGTTTATTAAAAAATAATATATTTTAGGTAAAACAACCCTTCTTCGATTCTCTTTTATTTAATGTTTTATTGAGTATTCTTATTTTATTGTGATTACCATTTTGTAATATCAATGAATAAATATTTTTTTTAATTCTATTCTTAAGAGTAATCTATTTCTTTGGAAAAATTATTAAAATGAGAGATAACAAAAGATTAAATACGTTTCCTATTTCGTATACAACAACCTTAACTCATAAACAGTAGAAAATACAGGGAATATTAATCCTAATGATAGATAAGTAATGAATTCTATAAAAGGTAAAATTAAAAGTTTGTCGCTCTATTTTTTCAGTTTGTTTTATTTAACTTTTAAATGTTAATAAAAATATATATTTTTAATTATGTTTAACTCTCTCAAAAATTATATTTATAATTATCGTATGTACACTTAAACATCCAAAATATTAATTTTTATACTCTAAAGTTTAGCATGGGAATGCATATAATAATGGCTACAGCTAGGTCCTGAACGTTGGCAGAAGGTGCTTCACATGAAATCTCGAATTTTGGTTTTGATATTATGAAAAATTTAAGTGGAACGGAGCCACTTTGGGATATGCTCCCGATGGGTCCCTTGTTCCAGAAATTTCAGTCACCTATGTTTGATCGTCCAAATAATTATTATCATATCTCTCTAATACTCTTAATTGCTTCATCTTTTGTTTTATTAAAATAAGAGTTGACAGCAACAAACAATTATGATAACAGATGAACAATCGAATAAGCATGCAACTCGTGGCGTTTGCCTTTGGGTACACAACCTACCGACGTATTTTAGCTTTAGCTTTTGTTTACCGAATCAATTAGCCACGTCACCACTTATTATAATTTCATAATATTTTTCTAATTATCAGATATTATTTGAAGATATAGCACAACTCTACTACTTTTATTTGCTTCCCCGCTTCTATGCTACTTCTAACAATAATAGATATGGTTTTGAAAGTAGTGTTAGGGAAACAAATAGTTATGCTAATTATTTTTTATACAATTTCGTTTTATTGTTTTTATTTTTGTGGAAATTATTTTTGTGTTATTATTTTACAAATAATTTATAAACTTTCTATAAAATGTCCAATGGGAAAACGATAATTAAAAAGATGACTAGATGAGGACTTAACAAAATAATTAAGAAAAGGAAAGTAATAAAAATTTGTCATAAACATCAATTCATCGCCCATCCACCATATGTCACTCCTCTATTTATGAAGACCCATTGTACTGTATTCATCACTCAACAAAGTTTCATCGCAATCTCATGGCAACAACAACGAGGTTCCTTCTTCTCCTCTTTCTGCTATCGCTAAGCTTCGCCGGAACCGTTAGATCTGTAAGAATAACTCTTCTCTTTGAAGTCTCAAAATCTCACTAATTTTGATTTTATGTTATTAATCATTGATGAAAAAAATAAACAAAAATATGCAGGAAGAAGATTGTGTGTACACGGTGTATATTCGGACCGGGTCGATCATAAAGGGAGGAACCGATTCGGTTATTGGGCTTAAGTTATACGACGCCTACGGCTACTACATATACATCACCAACTTGGAGGCATGGGGCGGGTTAATGGATCCGGGTTATAACTATTTCGAGCGGGGCAATCTCGACATTTTCAGTGGCAGGGGTCCTTGCTTGGACGGACCCGTTTGCGCTGTGAACTTAACTTCGGACGGGTCGGGGCCCCATCACGGGTGGTACTGTAATTACGTGGAGGTTACTTCCACTGGGGTGCACATACCCTGCGCTCAGCAGCAGTTCACGGTGGAGCAGTGGCTCGCTACCGACACGTCACCCTATGAGCTATGGGCTGTAAGGAACTATTGCAACTACAACTTGGGCCAGGCCCATCCTAAGCCTAAGACCAGTGATGCTATCAGATTTGGATCTGGGCCTAGGGCTGGTTTCTCTGTTTTGGGCTCCACGGCCCGTGAGTAGGGGTATTGTATCGGTAGTGTTGTTGGGTTGATACTTTTGGTATGGTTTGTGTTGCTATGTAATGGTGTTCTTATAGCCTTGTTTTGAGGAGAATTTGCCACCATGTTTGTTGAGTTGAGTCTAGAACCCGCTTATGTACAATGCATTGTCGTTGAATAAAGAAGATTTCACATCACCAATGGGTTTTTGACTTTTGTGATGAGCTTTAAATTTTAATTTATATTTTTCTAATTTTTAAAATTATTTATCCATCTTTTTTAAAACTTAAAGAATATAAATTAATTATTCAAAAGCTTATTAAATTCAAGACAAAAAATAGTCGTGACCGTACATACCAAATATTAAATGGGAAAAAGTTGCGAAATGATGTATCCTTTCATGTATTTTAAACACGTGCACTCCCCTAATTGTGGATCTATTGCTATGCGCTAAAGCATTTCTAGGTTGTATTTACCAATAAATAAACTAGATTTTGTTCCTGTGTTAATGAATCTGCAGAAAAAAAAAAAAAGTTTTATTCTGATGTTATTCATTATTTAAAGTTCATCAATTATAATATTAGATAGAATGCTGATATTTCAATGAACAGAATATTATTATCATTTATTTAAGATGTCTTAAAAATTCTTTTTATTTAGCCATTCGAAAAAATTATAATATAAAAAGGTTAATAAAATGATGTTGTAATTCTTATTCTTTCCAGTTACTGTAAAACAGTATAAGAAGTTTTTTTTTTTTTTTAGTTTTTTTAATTAAAATACATGAACAAGTTACAAGTGTTTCATACCATCGTCTAATCATGGAAAATCGTGTTAATAGGACTTATTAATTTTTATAATAATTAATTTGAAAATTATGTTTACCATGTATTTAAACTATTTGAACATGTAATTTTTTTTACACTAATAATGTATTAAAAGCAAACTCTTATATCATTAAAAAAAAAAAAAAACTTCCTCACGTCATAACAATTTACATAACTAAAAAATTAATATGTAATAAATCTGGAGTAAATTATATTTCTTTATTTTGACAGATGCCCATATTATGCTTTTCCCTTTTAATTTTAAAAAATATATTTTTTGTCTTTAAAAGATGAACATGTGTTACTTCTGATTTTTTTTAATACAAATGAGCTTTGTAGAAAAAATAGTATTATAGTGATTCTTAATGTGGTTAATATTTGTAAATATCCATTTTAATTTTTGTGACGTTAGAAAAAAAATAAATATTTTAAAACAAATTTAAAACTTGATAATAAAAATATTTAAAATTTTATCATATCTTTTAAAAGACTATAATTAATACTAAAAAGTTCAAAAGTAATTATTGACAATCCTAAACAGGAATAAGAAAGACAAAATATATTGGAAGACGTTCACAATTATTTACTGTAAATAAGTGATTTGTTTACATCAAGTGTAACCGAATGGGAATAAAAAAAAAAGAAAAAGAAAAAAGTGCATGTTTAAAAATAAGAGAGAAAAAATATATAATTTAAGCTTAAAAGGATATTCTTAAAAACTATGTAAGGGCTTGTTTGAGTTGTTGTTTTAATAGTTAAAAGTTGATTTTGAAGAATCCCAATGCAACAAATATAAAACTGTGTGACTAATAATTCTTCTTGAAAAATAATCAAGCTTGTAATAAGCTTAAGAAAAGACATACATTTTGAATAGATAAGACTTATATCTAATTAATTGTTTTCAATGTTAAAAATTTTGTGTTAAAATAAGAGATTATTATTTTTTAAATATGTTAGATCACAATCTAGTCCTTCGATAGACGTAGTAAGTACTTTGTCATTGAATAACACATGAGTGGCAAAGGAGAAAACGGGAAGAAAAAGAAAATATAATAATTAACTAACTGAGCAAATGAGAGTTAACAAATCTAATAGACATTCGAAATCCTTCAAATACAAGAGTCATACAACCTTTTTCCAAAAGAAAATAAATTCCAAATTCACTGTACATTAACCTTTTAACTTTCCTTTAGAATGTAAATAAATATGACATTCTCTTTTTTCACATGAAATGTTCTAAAATGGATTTGATTTTCCTTCCCTAACATTATTTTTTGTTCACAAAGCAATTGATCATCTTTTCCTATGCGTCACTCTTTGCTAGCAAAGATTGAGGCAAATTTCTCCAACCTAACATTTGTCACATCTTATATGTTTATTTCTTTTTTTTATCTTCATTTTCTATGTGTCTAATTCTCTCTCCTCTAACTATAAATCACCTCCACAATTCTTCATGTCCTTTCTTCACTTCATTGTTTCTTAAGTTGTGCTTGGGCCTCCATTAATGCTCGTTTTACTTCTTCGTCTGGCATCTCTTTTAGCAAGATTTCGTAGTCGTGTATTGAAGCTTCCCATCTTTCCAACTATGATTTTACAATAAACATCACCAAAGTCACATTACTAAAAAAACCATAATAATAATAGAAGAGTTTTGAAACTTGCATACCCCAAATTGTATTTTTAAGTTTTTACTATTATAAGAGTAGTTTTCCTTTGTTCAAAGCATGTTGCATTAAGTAAGTATAACAAGCTTATGTGGGTCACCTTAACATTACAATCTGCTCTTCGTAACCTGGCCTTGTTGTAAGATGGTCGTAAATTAAGGGCAGCAGTGCAATCATCCACTGCTTTCTCAAATTGGCCTAATCTTGATCTGCAAGCAGCTCTATTGCACAATAAAACTGAGTTATATGGGTCATGATCAAGGCCTTCTCCATAAGCAACACAAGCCTCGGAGAATTTTGATGCCTTGAAAAGCTCATTTCCCTTTGCTCGCGCACTTGCTATAGATCGAACCTTTATCATCACTTTGCTAGCTTGCTTGTTATTAGAGTCCAACTTCACTGCTTTTTGTGCTGCCTCTAAAGCAACTTCAAATCTACCATCACAATGAATGGATATAGATTACATGTTATCTAATGCACGCATAAGGCCATGTTTGTGTTGTTTTCTTTTAAATTTGAAATTTAATACCAACCTGCCAGCAGCTATATCAACCTGAGCACGTGTAACCAACAAATTTGCATTACCAATAGGTCCAAAGAACTTGGTACACTCATCAACATCAAAATTAGAACACTTCGACATTATTTTATCTGCATCTTGATGTCTACGGAGCTTTAGGAGGGCTTCAGCTTGCAATGCGTATATCTCAAAGGGAAAACGAAAGTCATATCAGCATGATTAACACGTGCATATATGCGTTAGTGAAACAAAATGAGAGAGTTAACACAATAATTGAGATGATATAGTATGATTATAACTTAATTAATAACTCACTTGTGGAGCAGAATCTGCACCAGATGATATAGCATTGTTGGTCTCAATTATTAATGTGTTCCAATCCCCCAATCTACGTGCCTCTGTGCATTTGTTTAGATGTACTTGAAGAATCTTCACTTTAGCAATCTCATCAGGATCAGCCTCTGGTCCTGCTTGTTTATAATGATATAGGGCATTATCCGTTTCTCCTAATCTGTAGGTAAGTGAATGAAAAGTAACAGACATTATAAGGGCGACAAGTATAATCGATAAAATTAAATTTTCAAAAATGTCATAAGAAAGCAAGCTATTCAAGAAACAAGATGCATGTTCCCTAATCAAAGTATGCATGTAGACCTACCTAAAATGCAAATTTCCCAAACGATTATGAGCTCTCTGGTAATGAGAATCAATCTTAATGGCTTCTCTGCATTCAAAAACGGCTTCTAAAAGCCTTCCAAGAGCAGTTAATGCTGCACTTCTGTTACTCCTATAAGAAGCCTTATTTGGGTCAATTGCAATGGCTGCATCATAAAGTGCCAAAGCCTCTGCAAACCGTCCATTTTTATAATCTTCATTACCCAATATCTTCAATTTCTCAGGATCCATTCTAGTAGACACAGCCCTGCATAATGAACCAGATTGTTCCTTGCTTGGTTTAGCCTCTTTACTACTATAACCTCCTTCATGTCCCATCATAGGGTTTGTGTATCCTTTGTTACCCCCAACGTAGTAATCCATTGCATTGTGAGAATCTGGTCCTGTTCCTCCTTGTCTAAGGTTACCTAAATTACCAAACAACATCACATTGCTAGAAGAAGCTCGAACAAGGGTACTGTTTCCTTTGGACTTTTGGTGATCATTGATCATGCTTTCAAGTTCTCCTGAAATGCCAATAGCTTCTTTGGGCACCCTTCTTCCCTGGTTAACATAGCCTTGAGTAGGTGAAACCTTTGATGAAGGGCCTCTTGCCATCGTTGTTTCGTTAGGATGTTGTTGATGGTGGTGTTTCCTTTGGTTTACAGCATGGATTGGCTTTTGAGGATTAGAGACACAATGACGTGAAGAGTTTAAGGTAGCATCATAAGAAGTTGTTCCAACTAAAGCGTCATCATTGTAGACACCACGTTGTTGTTTTGAATCTTGACAGTTTGATGGCTTTTCAAAATTGTTGGGTTCAGCAGAACTTTCAGAGGCTGATTTGCGTGAGCGCATACTGGGTCGCCAGAATACTGCTGTTATCAAGCCACAACCATGTTTCTTCTCTGGTGAATTATCCCCCATTTTTTTTATTTTGTTTCTGGCTTATGTTGCAATTTTATTTTATTATTTTGGTTGATGATGATGGTAGATGATCACTTTCTTTCAAAGCTAACCAAGAGGAAAGTGATTGATAAATGTGAACATTTCCTAGCAAATATATGTGAAATAGTACATAAATTAAAAATATGTCAATATCATACATCCAAAATGTAAAGAGATTGAATTGCCAAACTATTGGAATTTCAATCCAGGAGATAATCTACAAAGCCTCCTCCTGGAGAGGCTGCTAGGAAATGAAATTTCTGTGGATTCTCTCTTTTCAAATTGCAGAAACAAAATTACAATAAACAATTGAGAGAGAAAATTGCAGAAAAAAGAATAACTAACGACAAGTTAACTATTTTAATGAAACAAGAACAGTCAGATAGTTTATTTCCATTTTTCCTTTTTGTTTTTTTTCTTTTATTTTTTATATTCTCAATTATTTTTATTGGTTGTTTATCTGATAGTGGCCAGAAAACCAACAAACCCGGTCATCAACTTAACAAGAATCTCTACAATTTTGGAAATGACAATGCTTCATTTAGAAAACAACAAGGCATTAAGGAAAAAAAGACACTTACCCCTCGCATGTTTCCAGCTATTACATGCAGAAAAAGGTGCAGCCACCACAAGTCAAATAGAGAAACTATTTATTCATAATATTGTTTTTAATATAGAATGACTTTATATTTTTTTATTCTTTGTACATATAAATGTTAACTAGTACTCTCGTTCCGGAATTCAAATAAAAAAAAATTATAAAGTATAACAATCCACTTATTCAATGGTTTGTAATATACTTTTAAGATAATTTTTAATAAAAAAAATTATTAATTTTTTAATTTAGTTATTTAAAGAAACTGATTAACGGAATCCTTCTTAAAAGAAACAGCGAAACCAGAGGGGCTTGAACATAAGCTTTAGCTTGATCTGAGCCCACTGGATCGCATTCTTCTGTATCTTTTGGGCCATCTAATCCAATTAGATGGGCCATGTTGTCGTAGTCGTAGCTGCGTAAGATACGCGAGTACCAATGCTATGATGACGTCTTGCAAGTTGCAACAAGTCAATAATCACACCACTGTAGGGGAAAGAACCAAAAATCGTAATAACGCATGATTGATATTTTGCCAATTTTAAGGTTTATCATAAAAAGAATTGCTAACACTCAGGGTATATCCGTAAAATTTCTCTGAATTATTTCCGAACCCATTTTCAACTATACCACCAATGTGTAAATAAAACATATATATAATGCTTGGAATACATAATTCATATAATTGATTAACATTATTTAAAACGAACTTAAAAATACAGTATACTTGTTAGATAATTAACAATATTAGTTACAAGTCTAATGCTTTGGCTCAATTTAAATAAACTTATGAATAAATATTTAAAAGAATTAAAAATTATATAGTAAAATAAATTATTTTTTATTACTAAAATTTAAGATGTAAGTGATTTTTATCTCTAAGGTTAACGTAAAATGTAAGGTATATTTTAACGGATATTTGAAGTTATGAAGCTACTGTACCCTCATATATATTAAAGAATGACGTGTGACATTTGTCTTCCGGTAATAGGAGGGATTTGAATTGATGCTCTATTTTAATCTAATAGCTTTATATTTTACAGGCAAACACTGACTAATATACAATGGAGAAAACCAATTAGAACACGGATTAAATAGTTAGGTGGAGCTAACGCTGATGAACCCAAGCAAATCACTTGGGCAAACAAGTCAAAAAGGCAAAATCAGGAAAACTTGATTGTTGAATGACAGTGGCAAATCGATGGCAAATTTGGCATATATGTTTTGGGAAGAATGAACAAAAATTCATACCTTTGTGACTTGCGTTTTGGTCAGAACCTGGAATGTGGTGAAGATTGCGCACCATATCAAAGACAAGTCAATTGTCAAATTCCTTTAGAGCTAACCATTGCTGGGTACCACCAAGCCCTTCTTCTAGGGACCAACGCCACCATACCCAAACTGTTGGACCACATGACCACACCCACTACGTAGACTTGTAAAATACCTTTGACTCTGTCCTCAATCTTACACCACCACCTATTTCCTCTTTCATTTTATTTGATTTTTACCTCAAACAACTTCAATTAGTAATATTTTCAAAATACACGCCCATGATTTCGGATTTTGTTGTTTGATTATAATTTAATAAAAACGGAACGCGTTAGGAATATTTTAACTTACCTATGAAGAATTGGCTGAAAGAGCTTACGAAAATATAAAAAGGGTAAATTGTTAATACTATTAGGTAGCATGTTAATACTATTAGGTAGCATTGGACTCGTCAAAATGGCGATTGGCATCAACTACTTAAATTTTCAGTCACGTTTGATTCCGACTTGAAAATAATGTTTGTCTATTCATGTCACTGTCTCCATATCAAATCCTTAGATCAAACCAAATCACGAAATAACTGTTGTCTCTTGTGCATCATCATTAAGGTATCTCTTCCATAGAACCCAGGAAGAAACAGAGCCTCTCAACAACAAAATTCGTCTCTCTCCCTCCCTGTAAAAAAATGGTCCAAATATTATTGATTCTTATACATTTGGAAAACATTAAAGAACACAAAATAGAAATTGATCACTGAAAATTTAGAGGGATCACGGAATTTTCCCACAAGGGAATTAAATTCAATTGCTGGGGACTCTTCGTACCATTGTTTTTACAGAACAAATTATTGGAAAAGCGTAGCTCACATTCTTTGAATATTGAATATTCAATACTATGCCTTTTTTCAAAAAAACCGTACTCACTCACAGGATTCCATATAATTCTAAACCCGTTAATCTATTAATTAAAAAAAATCAAAATAAGCTCTAACTAAATTATTGTTCTTTTAAGCATCCTACAAGTTTCAATAATAAAATTTATAATTCGTAGATCTTTGTATATGTTGCGCATTGGCCCCTATAGTTATTTGTCCTCCTGCATCTAGATCATGAAACAGGCCTGTGAACCAGCAAGTTGATTGACTTAAATATAATGATGTTATACAAATAATGTAAATATTTTCTTGCTTTACAGTTTACCAATCCTTAAAAAGTTAGGAAACTTAGTGTTGTCTAATCATGGGTTAAACTAGGAAACATTTTACAACTCCAAGTTGTTTCCGTGGTTAGGTTAGGTTAAATCACCGTTAAGAACAGCGCAAAGACTAAAAAGGCTTCAATAAAAGAACAAAGAAATTAATTTAAAAGAAGAAACATAATGCCTAATATATGCAATTTCAAATATCAGAAGCTTCGGAAAAATAAATAATGGTTGCTTATGCTTTTGTACATTCGTCTAATCATTATAAAATCTCTGTTTGGCTTATCGCTCTAGTATGACAGCTTGATCGCACCTAAGCAAACAGCCCGAAATAAATAAACATAAAATGTTGACTATTTCATTGACCAAATATTTGTATTTTTTTAATAATTTTGAAAGTTTCTTCCTTTAATTTGTGTCGTATGCCCATTATTATTTCTTCTTCTTTTTTTTTCCCTCAGTCATCTTTTTAGTTGTTTTGATTCTTGATGGATGGATGAGAACAATACCAGTGACGAAACCACCAAAAAAGGGACGAGAAACAAAATAAAAAAGAAAATAAAAAGACAATGCAAGAAAATATTCGCAAGATATAATTTTCTCAACCCTAAAGAAGCATTGTGATTTAGGGAATATATTGCTGGAATTGGAATGAAATTTGTCTCCTTTTTTTTTCCTCTTCAGTATCTTATACTTTAGTGTGAGATTAATCTCTTTTTGCAACGGGTTACGTTTGCAAATAATGTTTCCATTACCATCGAGTTGCAAGCTAGTATTTGTCAGAAGTATCAAACTCTATATCATAAACTAAGCTAGAGTATTCTGAAAAAATGAGATGTCTGGTAAATTTACTTTTTTAATATTATTAACCACGTGTACTTTTTAGAGTTTAAACTTTAGATTTCATTTAAAAACCTTATATAATTTCATTTATTAATTATTAAAATACTATATTTATTTTAAAATAAAATACATATACATTTCATATGCTACTAACTAGTTATACGTTGAATTTTGTCACTCCTTCTGCTTTTTTTAAGTTTAATATTTTACAAGTAAATTATGAAAGCAATTAGTGTTTTAAATTTTATAAAAAAAATATTAATTAACTTTTTGTTATATTTTTAAGTGTTAGAAAAAAGATGTCGAATAGTTTTAAATTCTTTTCTCTTGTATTCTTACAAAATTTTTCATTATCAAATTAAAATGTTAAATGTATTTTTTAAGATAATAAAAAATATTTTTTATTTAACATTTATTTTATAAAATTCTACATAAAACGATTGTTGAAAAAAAAAATAATAAGGAAGAGAATATGCCAAAACTCATTCTATTATTATGGCTGTGTGAAGCAGAAACTGGCAGGGGTTTGTTAATTTATCACTTGGGTGGCGTCTTCAGAAACTGCAGTCCTTGTGTGAGAAAACTTAAATTCTCAAACAGAAAGGTACCCCATTATTTTATTTGCATCCGCAACATACGTGACATGCAGATTACCTCTTTTTTTCATGTCCTCAATTAAATATACGTTTTATATCTATAAAATAGTAGAATAATACACTATCTGTTTCCTCGATCTTTGGGATATTTATAAACGAAGTATATTATTTACATAATATTTTTCTCCACTTTAAATTAATTAGGAGAAAAAAAAATATATTTTAAAAGTATATACATTATACAACACGTAAAATGGAAAGCTAAAGCATATGATCCTCAATTTGTTGCACTGCTTGGTGCATATGAGGAAATGGCATTCTACGAAGTTGGTAAACAGAAAGAAATGAAAAAGGGTGGGGGCATTTTACAACCCCACATGTAAATTATGTGGCAGCATTAAGGGACAGAATGTAGGAGCATGAGGCCCCCCAATCCAAAAAATTGCAATCTATATTCTCTTCTCCCATTCAACATAAGAGCAATGAAAACGATGATCATGGACCGTCGATAAAAAATCAAACGGGCATGAAAATGAATAATAAATATTGGAGAACAATGGGTATGTCCAAGATTCCAACCATCAATATTACAATAATAATGGGCATTAGATTAGAGGTCCCATCATCATTTCCCAATCTTTCTTTGATATACCACTTATCTTTGTAGGTGGAGGGGACGGTGACCACATCCCGTTAATACAAATTAAAGTAGTTTTACATGTTCAAGTAACTTAAACAATACATAATTAGCTCAACAGTTTTGGTCAGTTTAATGGAGGGCCACATGTGAGTGTATTTGTACATTTCAATGAATAAATAAATATAAATATACATTATACGGTGTATGTGTAATTTGAACCTTTTCGGCGTCAAGATGTACGTAGCACTTGGTAGTACATCGCGATTGAATGAGACTTTCTGGGTAGAAACTTCAAATGATGCTATCTTTTCCCCAATCCCATATATTAAGGAAAATAAAAAGGAACATGAAACAAAAGTGGCGGACTCTGACAATGTTGCCTCTCTCTCTCTCTCTCTCTCTCTCTTATTTCGTTCATTTTTGACCACGCGTTCACTAATTTTGGGGATCCTACTATCATCTATCTTCATTTACTTTGATGCGTCTTTCTGGCATTCAATTGCAGAATCTGATAAATGTAACCACAATAAAACTTTAATGAAAATAAATTTTCAATTCAGAAAAGGATAACTTGAGGCCCCATGTCGTTCACGTTAAAGGACTCTGAAAAAGGTTGTCCTTCTTAGAGCACAAAATTGTTAGTTTTTTTTTTAATTTAAAATATGAAAGGCTATATACTCTTATGCGTCAGAAACTATATTTATATAATATATTTGTACAAATTTTTATACAATAAATGAGATAATAATATATTTGCACAAGGACCGGTACCCCCCTCTCCCATCTTCCCTTCCCTGCTGTTAATAAAGTCATTTTCCTTTGTGTATTGAATAAAATTTAAAATATGTTAAAAATTGCAAAAAAAAAGTACATTAATATTGTTTTTTAAGCAACTTTTTATTTTTATTTATTAACTAATATTTTTAAAATACCAGTTAACAACTGTCTAAATAAATGTTATTAAAATATTTTAGGAAGTGAATTATATTATACATATTACGTGCAGACCTAGAAGACGTGAGAGAGAGGGTGTACATATTTTGATATGGATTTGATTATATTATATAGGGGGCAAATACAGACCATAGGTATATATCAAAGGGGAAAAAGCATAAAAATATTACACGTACAAATGACAACGACCGCTATATATTCTTCAAACAAGTTGATTATTTTGAAGATGATTAAATTTCATTTATTATTGAATGGCGAGTTGGGGCCCTTGCAAATAATAATAATACATATATAAAAAAAAGCCAACGCTTTGGTTCCTGTTTAGTTTTTAGTTTCGATTGTTGCAGCGAACATACATGTTGTTCAACTGATTCAGCAATTTAGCATAGATGAATTACAAGCACAAGAAAGATGTTACAGGAAAGCAATCATCTAAAAGTAGAATATAGGCTTACATGATAAATATCATGATCTACCCTTCTACATCTTTTAGCAGAGGACGACTGTGAAAGATTCCCTCAGCTTTTATTCTTGACACATTTTTATTTTTTCCAACTATTAATTTATAAATAATTGGTTATGTCCGGGGTCAAATCTAATGGAAATACAAGTTCGATCACACTCACATATTTCTTCGTTAATCTTTTGCCACGAATATCGCTGATTAATGGTATATACATATATATAGTTTGATGGGTTTACCGTGAAAACAGTCATTTCTCTTTATGAACATAAAATTGGATATTACATATGCACGTATTTGTATTCGTTTCTTCATACGTTTAGGAAAGCTAAATATGGCTGTTCTCTTTTTATTATGCAATTCAACCACCATAACTCTAATTTGATTGCTTGCCCACCTCATTATTCCCCCTCAAACAAAAAATATATATTTTTGACACTACTAGTATTTATATATTTCAATTGCATTACGTATTTAATAACAATAAATTAAAATTAATTAACATGTACATGGGGCCTTATCCTCATTATATCCTTTCTCCGTTTCACACTGCAAACGAAAACCACAACTCTGGCATACTTTGACCATTGGAGGGTGGCATCACCCCCTTAGCTAGCTCCCATGTCTACCCCACTCTGATATTTTTCAGATGAAACCGCAAGCAGAAACAGCCTCTCTTTTTAGAGAAGGAAAAGGCTAGAGAACCATCCTTTTCACACACAAAACACTTGTCTTTTTTCTATTTCACTTGTGAAACCCTAATACTATAGATCCCCCTCTCAAATCTCAAGTAACCCAAAATCACAAACAACCCAAATACACTGATCACACCTTCTCTTTCTCTCTGCAAACTCCCACTATTAAATACACGACCACATATGTAAATAAATATCCGTGGGGTGGTTCTACCCCTCGTTTACGTATATCCATATAACCTTTTGCTCAAAGACAAATTAAGTAAAAGCAAGGGAAACGAGCACACACTGTACGGTTTTGTGCAGATCGCAGCCTTGAAGACGTGGGTGTTGGTACACTTTAGCTTTTTCTTCCATAACCACACACACACACTCTATTGTCCCATACCCATACCTCATTCTCTTAAATATGAGGTGTGTGTAAGTAAGCAAATCTCTCTGCTCCTCTCTCCCTCACGTCTTTCCATTTTCTGCTCTCATGGATTCCACCAACAGTGGGAGTATGCAATCATCCAGCACTGCCGGCGATGAGGAGTACGATTCACGCGCCGAATCAACAATCTCTGCTTTCTTAAACAACAACAATAACCCTCCTCCACCTCCACCTCCACCACAACCACAACCACCACCACAACAACACGTTACTCCCTTCACTACAAACCCATCACAGCATCACCACATGTTCGACCCTTTATCCAATTACTTGGATCCGACACAAAGATCGGTTCTAAACCTCGACTCGGTGTGGTCCAAGGTTGTTAGATCCGAACCCAATCAACCCGATCTTGCCGGCTTCATTCCTTCTTCGTCTTCTCCACAGAACCAAGCTTTTGTTTTAAGTCAATTGGGAGGTCAAACACGAGGAAACGTTGGTGCTTTTCCCACCACACATAACTCTCTTCCTCCAGAAACTGCTTCTTCGCGTGGAGGGTTACTTTCGGTGTCAACCTCCAATGACCAAGTTCATAACAACAATAGCAACAACAACATGGTTCGGAACCCGAAGAAGCGTTCAAGAGCTTCTAGGCGTGCACCTACCACTGTGCTTACTACAGACACCACCAATTTCCGAGCCATGGTTCAGGAATTCACTGGCATCCCTGCACCACCCTTCACTTCCTCGCCTTTCCCTAGAACCAGGTTGGATCTCTTTGCTACTTCTTCTTCTTCTTCAGCTGTAAGATCTTTGGACCCTCCAACAACGCCACCACCACCTTATCTTCTTCGCCCTTTTGCACAGAAAGTTCAAGCTCAATCTTCTCCAATTCCACCCTCTTTTCCACCCATGATTGATGCCTTAGCTTCTAATAATAACAATAACTCTTGTTCTTCTAATCCAACTTCCATTAACTACCAACAGCCTATCAACATGCATAACCCAATTCTCAGCTTTCAATCCATCCTCCAAACACCCCCAAAGTACCCTCAACTTGGGAACAATTCTTCTCTTCTTGTTGCCTCGGGTACTGTTGATTCACATCTCAAGATGGGTGTTTTGGAGGAACTAGGATTGAGCCATGCCCATGTTAACACCCACGTTGGTGGTGGTCATCATCAGAACATGGTTCCGTCATCCTCAGATGGAGGAGCATTGTCGAGGGTCAACAACAACAACAACATGCGTAGTCCTTCATTGGACTGGGCCCAGAGAGTTACCAACAACGATGGTGGAGTTTTGAGGTCTCTCGGTGGCACTCTCAACTACAGAAGCAATGTTTCAGATCAGCGAGTGTCAAATGGCAAAGTTAACTACTCCGCCACGCCCTCGGATTTTCATGGAGACAAGGGACAAGACTGTGTTGTTGTTGCTGCTGCAAGAAGCGAAGGTATGGTGGAGTCATGGATTAACTGTTCTTCTGATTAAGAGCTAGCTCAAAAGAACCCTCCAATGGGAAAAGAATATGAAAAAAAAAAGGAGATTCATAGATATAATTTCATACGGTTAAAGCAACTTATGGTAGTAAAACGCTAATGCATGAAAGAGAGAATCTTGGTATCCTCAGCTTAACCATGACCGTCAAATTAATTAAACACTGTTTTTAATGATTTTTTTTCTTTGTTCTTTGGGTCCCTTTAGAATTATGCGGTAAATAAGTAGCATCTACCTTGTGTTTCTCTTTCTCTACTCTTTTTTTTTTTTTCAAAATATTAATTTGTGCTTTTAATCAATATATATATATATATATATATAGCCATATACGAAAAAATCCTAGAGAGGGATCAATGTTTGTTAGATAATTATTTGTGTCTCTGTCTGCTAAACTAGAGCTATACAATGGCACTAGTTTGTTTCATGTTACTGTACATGGATTTTGGTTTTGACTTGTGTGAAGTTATGGTTCAGAGAATGTACAATGTGCAGCATAGATTGAACAACACAGACAAAACTGTATGTATACCCATCTCTTCCTGTTTCTGTGGCACCTTCTATTCTGATTTTACCTCTAATGTTTTCCATTTTGTCTTCTTTCTTCCTCCCTTACCTCTACTCTTCTTCTGCACTTTTTTTTCTTCAATTTTTAACTTGACGCCAATTATAAAATTGTAGATTCTTGGAGTAATTGGTGGCAAGATTTGGGGGGATGGTAAGCCGCCGAAAAATCAAAGATATGTACATTTTTTTAAACAATTCAACATTATATATATATATATATACTCACATGTAAAACATTAAACAACTATATTAAGTGTTTACTTCTCTAAAGTTGTAGTACTTTTAGAAAAAGTGTAGGTACATTTTTAAAAACCCCTTTAAAACGTTTAAAAATAATTATTTTGGAACGAGTACTGAATCAAAACACATCCGTATACGTATCTAATATACACATGTGGCTCCATACATTAACATCTTTATATACTGTGAAAAGATATTTTATTCTGATTTAAATTTAAAAATTTTTATACTTAATTTAAATTTAATAAATTTTAATTTATTACTTTATTGGCCATCAAATTTAAGTTAAATAAAAGGTTTAAATTGAGTATAAATTTTATATCGATATAAAAAATATTTTTTTATATATATTTATATTATTTTTTCAAATAAAATGTAAACTATTCTTTACTAGTGAGTTTTGGGTATATCATATAGGTATTATTGTATTTAATAAGATTCAATTAAACAGATAAAGTTTTAAAAAATTAAATTTAAAAAAAGTTAAATGTAAGGGAACTGTTACATGGTATTATAAAAATAATAGTTTCTAAAAATAATCTCGTTTAAAAATATAAAGTAACTTTTGAAATGTAAAGGTAGGATTTTAATAAACTATAAATACTATGCTATGTATCTCAAATAGATGATAAATGGCTCAATGTTATTTTATTAACTTTAATAATTTATCCCAAGTGATTGTTTGTTGCATCTTAAAAATTTAAGCAAATAAATTATCAAAATTACACACTTCTTGTTATATACTACAAGATAAAATAATAAAAAATGTTGGTCATGTGATCATAATTAAAGGGAGCCATTTATACTTACACTTCTACTTTTGGAAAAAGAAACTCAACATTGCAAAAACACAAAAATTTAAGCATGTTGATTCACGAAAGAAATGTTATTTTTAGTGAATACTATATTATCTTATTATATTTCTTATCAATTATCCTAATGTTTTATTACAAAAAGTACTCACGTATGTTTAATATTTTGAAAATATATAAAAAGAATATTTGACACTTTTTTGTATAATAAGAATTAGTAAGATGTTGTAGAAAAATTTAAAAGTAAGTATATTGTTTAAAATCTTACAAACTTCTGTTCTAAAATTATTGATTAAAGAATTAGTAAATATTTTTTAAATTTATGTTATAAGGTATATTAAAAATTACAGTGAAAGTCTATTAATGTTATTTTTTAACTCGTTAATTAACATTTATAAAGTACTGATTAATATTTATGGTTCTTAAAACTATTTTTATTTGTCTATTCACTAGTATTGATATTTTTTTAACTTATATTCTTTATTAATTCTAAGGTAATAATAAATGTTCTTATATTAAGAAATATATATATATGTATGTATAATAGGAAGTTTCAAAATAAATTTTATTAAAAATATCAATAATTTTTTTAATCTGTATATTTTTTACTCAATAGATTTAAATAAATAACAGTTGAGATAATATTTATTTTTTAAATTTTTTATTGAATTTAAAGAATATTTTATATATGTATGTGCGTGAAATAAGCACACCGTTTATAGTAGTTAAAGAATGCGTAGCCATTATGTGCCAAAATAAAATGCTGATGTGTTCAGCTGAACCAATGATCAAGATATTTAAATTAAAATATTATTAGCTGAAAAATGATAATTTAAAAAGTGCCCATTGATTTAGCTCTCCATCACTTTTTGTCTTTTTTCGATTTTGCACCATAAGCTTATTAGTCTGAAGGAAAGAGAAATGAAAAGTGGCACGCGTGCATGTTCTATTACCCTCATGAATGAGACTTTTTAGCTTCATGGATTTAATGCATGTGGGATCTGCAAAGCCTATAATATGGTTTAAAATTAATACATAATAAATATAAAATATTTTTAAAATTCTAACATGCCCTTTAAAATTCTGGTTATATTTTTTGCAAAAAATAGAAGTACAAATTGTAGGTTGAAACCACTCAATGGAATGAGACTTTGATGGCGTGGTTGAGTAGTTCATGTTTATAGAGTTTGTTCGAGTCCATGAGTTAGGACCTTAATATCATTAGTTAGAATAATATAGAGTTAAAAAATTGATTATAATTTTAATGCAGGGATTCAAATTTGAAAGTTGAATTGTAGAAAATTCAAAGTCAAAGGCGATTTGGGATAGTTGCCATGACCTGACTCTACACAGGGTCCTTATTCGCCGAGCCAAGACAGAACATATGGGATTGGGAAATTTCAAAGAATCAAAGAAAATAATTCACAATCGTATTTCGAAAACCAGCGTTCATATTTCGAACAGAAGAAAGGCCAAATATCAGCAATGAGGGGTGAAAATATCATGCTATGTTAACAAAATAATGGTATTTGATTTCTTTTTCCCCTAGCTATTCCAGCTGCCTATGTTAACATTGATCTAGGTACGTTCTTTTATATACTTTAATTCACAAATATTTGATTTTGTGGTAGTGGGATATTGCCTTCCCTCCACGTTCAAAGTCCCAAATTTCACTTCTGTATCCTCGTTGGAGGTATACAGTGTAGCTACCAATAAAGATATAAAGATGCGTTAGTAACATATTAAATGGTATATAAGTATCATAACTTCATTTTAAAATTACTTAAGATATTTTCAATAAAAAGTATCTTAAATTTGTAACTCAAATATTCTCTTTTACTACTAGATTGGCTTCATATACTACATCATAATACTTTTTTTTAAATAATAATATATTAATTTTTATAGTTTTTGAAGAAAATACTAAAACATTTTTGTAGTTTTTGTTATTTTATTTTATAGAATATTCAACTTTCATAATTTTATAATTTAACAATTTGTTTATAAAAAAGAACAAGTATGCTCTTTATAATTTTGTTCTAGCTCAAAAAGTGAACAAGTATAAATAAATATATATATATATATATATATGTAACTTTAATTAAATTTGAAGCATATTATGATATTGGCATGTTAAAATTTAAGCTCCGTACACTCTTTCTTATATACACACTTTAGTGGACACCATATTTAAAGGGCGTAGAGCTACTCGTGCCCAAATTAAGTAAGGGCTTCAAGCTGCCATCGTCTACCCCACTCTTCATATAGCACATTTAAATCGATCAGAGCGATAAACCAATATTTAGGTCTTGAAAGAGAGAATAAGCAAGAGGTGAATTCCATCTTTTTGTCTAACATCATTGTGACAAAAGAAGCCCTTAGAATGTTAACTCATGCATTGCAGCCACTCATATAATGTTCAATTATGAAAATTTCTGAATCATTTGCCTAGAAAGAAAGAAAAAAATAATTGAAATCATGGAAAGGTCCTATGCTTGAAACACTCCTCGGCTGTGAAGTTAAAGTGGCTTGTCTTTGCATGAAAAGGCTGGCTGGGGATATTATCCATCCAAAAGTTAGTAATCTTTTTCATTCCATTGATTGATATATGATGATCTTTTTCATTTCACCTTTGGGTTTAAAATTAGAATGACGAGACAAGAGAGGGAGATACATCAAAATGGGATGGCATTCAAAAAAATTTGAATCTTTTTTTGCAAAAGTGAGACACATGAATCATAGAAAACCATGGGGGTTTACTTTTATAAAAGGGGTACTTTCTTTTACATTAAATAAACTCAAAAGACTTTATGAAAATTTAAATAAAACTCAAATGATTAGGCATCGGATTTTGGGAGATATGTTAGGGGCAGGCCTTGTGTTAGATTTGATGCCGTGACCTTTGACATTTCATTTAGGGCCCATGCCAATGAACAAACCTTTCACTTGCTATTTAGCAATGATGGCTTTTCTCATCACACTCTCTGCACCATTCAGGAATTTTCTAAGGCTCAAACAGCGAGCCAAACGCGCGCAAACACACAGTGCCCTACAATTTTGAGCCTAATAAACTCAAAAAGATGAACAGCTTTTGGCATCCTCACGAATAAGGCTACACTGTTTTTCCCTCTTCATTTGAATGCATTATTTCACAGGAAAAAAGCATCAATTCAAGTACCTTATGCCGGAAAAAGACAAACCACACCATATAATTTAAATTACATTGAACATGATGTCTTGTCCCGCAAATCTAATTTTAGATTTCCTTACTCTTGATTCCAAGCATTAACCAAGGAATTAACACCTTTCGATCCCTACGATTACGGTATATGCGCGCAACTGTGCTGTGTTACACTATGCCGTTCATTTACTAATCTATTCCTTTCTTCATCACCCACGCTATATATTCATATTTATATGCGTAACGCATACTATATACTAAAACATTATCCCTCCGTTGCATTATCCTCGCTGTGTCCACTAATATTTGTTGAAAATATTAAAATTATTTTATTCAAAATGTTAAGATGAAAATAAACTCTTATTATTTTTTATTCATCAAATAATTCTACTAACTTAATTACTAAAAAATAGATTAAAAGATGCTCTGTGTACTAATTTTTAATCCCTTTTTTCTTTGTTCCCTTCAAAATTCTTACAAGACAGATAGCATATGTCCAATCCAGCCTCTAAAGTTTATTTGATGGATCGAATTTATGCATCGTAGATTTTCATTAATTTTTAGAACATTCCTGAACTAGTTCGCTGTTGATGGATATAAGTTAAAGTAAGATGGCCCCAGTCCCCAGCGGTAAGTTTCATTAATGAAACTGCCCATTTTTAATTAGTAATTAGTCAACGTTTAAATATATTTATTTTTGGCACATGCACTGATGCACAAGGTCAGGACCACCGTCAAATTACAGTTGCATCAATGTGAACTATACACGAGTTGCAATGTACAAACCTATTGTATTTGTATCTGTATACGAAAAATATTAACAATACATTTTTTAATATACTTTTTATTATTAATTAAAATTGATCTCTAGTGGAGTTTAAAACATTATATTGAAAGTTAGCGGTTTCTAAATAATTTCTTAAACGTAATCTGGAAAAGTTAATTTGAAGTCAAGGAGATTAGTTGTAGTTGTTATTAGCTACTTAGATTTTTCGTGTTATCTTTTGTCCGAGTAAGTGGGTCAGATGTGATTTTCATGAACCGTACTGTGTCTGCCACTATTGTTATTTTCAGTAACCCCAGCCATTGAAATAATGGTGTTCCATGCCATTCGCCTTCATTTGTTACAATATTTCAACCTAAAGAAAGAACGTGAATGCAAGGTATCGATCGAGTATTTGAGCTATGCTGGCATGGATCTTACTTTACAGATTTACAATATTGCGTGGCTTGCGCAGACTATGATGCCCGACCAAATGCATGTAAAATCCACCAACATAAAGATATTTCAAGGATCCGTTTTGCTTTCTCTCCTTTCCATTGCTGCATATGAAAATTTATGGTTAATCGACCTCAACCTTGGCTAATTCTTTCCGTGTATATAAAAGAGTAAGAGATTAACAACACACTATTTATAAATTATATACTGATATTATAATTAATATTTTAAATAACTAATAACGAAAATATATATTATACAATTTTTTTGTTCAAATTATATTTACTTTGTTTGTTCATTGGCACATCGATTGTGTGGCAAGGTCTTTGGACCGGTTGGAGCAACTTGCGGCCTATATAGTAGATACTCTTCAGGCAAACCTCGTTCAAATGAATTTGTACATAAATGTTAGCAAAATTTACGAGCTAACTCAATTTGGTCTGTAAATTTGTGAAAAAAATATATTTACTTGCATAAAATAAGAAAAATCTTTATAAATAAATTGAATGATTTAAAAGTAAAGATGGCAAATTTTTATAAAGATAATTGTATTGTGCCTTTTTTTATGCTATTGTTTTGGAACCCCAATATCGTTATTATTTATAAAATAAAAAAAACACATTGTCATGGCCCACGTCTCACGTCTCTCCAACTCTAAAAATGTTTGTCTCGATTGTAGATGGATGGTTGACTCAAAAACAAACAGTTTTAAATAGTGATTATTCTTGTTTGGCTTAAGAACTGGTTGATTGTGTATTAGTTGATTTGATACGTGGCATGAAAGTATTTCATATATTTTATTAAATATTTTTAATTATTTTAGAAATATGTATTGAATGACTTTTATATGTTTAATATAATAAATAAATCCTCAATAAAAATTTTACACTTTTAAAATTTTTGTAAATATAAATAAACGAGTTTAATTTTAATGCACTGTTAATGTAAAACTTTATATACTGTCAACTTGTTAAAATACACCATAGAGAACTTACTATGAAAAATTATCTTAATAATATATATGTTTTCATTTGATGAGCGATGTTAAAACTATGAATGTCACGAATGAGGTATTAATTTGGATTGGGGTAGACTCATAATAGATAAAATATAATTTAACTTGTTGGCCGAATTGTGGAAGATAAATTGTTGGTCTAATTAATTAATTTTTACTGTTATGGGTACTTTTACATGCCATTATTTTACGAATTTTGAGTGATATATAATTATCAGGGTGACGGAGTACTTGATACTTGATCTTCATTTTTCTGCCAAAAAAGTAATTAATATTATATCATGACAGCATTATAGGGTTGATGAACTATTTTAACCGATCTCTTTTTGGATTAGGTAAAGACACCCATAGAAAAACGAAATTTAAAGAATAAAGTGCAAAAAGCTTCTAATGAGAGACGGTGTTGCAATGAAAACACTCTATGCATAGAGGCTTTGACATTGAGATTGAAACAAAAGAAAGGGTTTTGTGTGTGGGCCACGTCTGTAGCCTACGGTCCTTTTCTTCATCATGTTCCCTCCCTTCCCATCATACCCATTCCCGAATGCCACAGCCCATATTAACAACATCATAACCCACTCCTTTTTGTGGGGCCATATTTTTAAGTTTTTATTTATGGAAAAATAAATAAATAAACTTCTTAAAGATTCTTTACATACGTTTTTGGACAAACTCATGTTTTTAGATTACTACCAAACATAAACTGAAAATTTTGAAATTTGGTGTGATTAACATAGGGAAAGTCTCCTTCATCATTACCCGTGTAATTTGGCAAGGAATGGAAACACGTATCCGTATTCATTTTCAAAATATCTACCAAAGAAGTTTGTTTGTCCAACATCTAGAAGAAAGCATAATGGCTAAACAAAAATAACTATTTATCACAACAATACATGCAAGAAAAAAAATCAACCAGAGAGGATTATTAAAAAGTTGTAGCCCCTGAGAAGTCCCAGTGCTCCTTGTGTGAGTTAATCTCAAAATAAAGAAAAGGGGCCAGAATGAACCTATACGGGATCAAAAGGCCCAAAAAATGGGTGGTCACAACCAAATAATTTATGGTTAGTGGGCCTGGTTTGGTCCAAACCTCGGTTAGAATTATAAATAATTAATATATAAAGGTGCCACTTGTCAAACATGGGGTGGTGGCGCAGTTGGCTAGCGCGTAGGTCTCATAGCTTCTGAGTTATCCTGAGGTCGAGAGTTCGAGCCTCTCTCACCCCATTCAACTTTTAACTGAG